AGTCTTTCAATGCGCATACTGTAGACGCTGTTTAGTTTCGGTTACATTGGTTACTGAAAATGTCCTCGTTTTTGTCCACATCGTAAACATTATTTATATAGCAACAAAAACATATAAATTCATTAATTAAATAAATAAATGGCGGTAATACCGCATATCGCGCTATTGAGCCACTCAACATTACCGCAAGGGAAATTCCATAACCGCAACAGCCCTAGTCACAAACTACCTTGTAACCAATCAACGTGCCAGTGGGCTTTAACATATCATTAACAGGTATCCGGGTGTGTTTTTTGTTGATATGAAAAATCGGGTAAATTTAGCAATTTAACAAATGTATCATGTATATTATGATGTTATGATTAACTATATGCCTTTCTTCACGGACAACGTTCCGAGTTGTTCAAAGCGTTTCAAATGATTGTTAGAAGGCAGCTATCTAACTCTGAGATAAGAACATGGTTTGTGTAACATTAGCAACACATTATTAACTGTTTGATAACAGTCAAGCCAAAGGCTAATCATATTAATTACCGTTATGTGTCCAACGTTGTAAAGAGCGATACCATTGTGCAGTGTTTACCTCGGTAAGTTGGCCGAGTGAATCTGTGAGCTTGTGTGAGTGGAGGCAATGCTAATTAGCATATTCACGGCTCCACGCATACTAAATGAAGCAAAGGTGGTTACATTCAAGCTATTTTAAGGCATGAAGATTTTTTTACAGGAAAAAAAAAACATTTAAATATATATTTTGGTAATCAAAGATGGGTTTTAAGGGATACAATTATTGCACTGTTTTTACTCAGTAAAGTGAAATTTCAGCTATATACAATATTAAATGCAGTGTAAAGTTTATTTGTGTATTAAGAAATATTATTGTTTTAGTGAACTCGATTAAAATAAGTTTACTCATTGCAGAGTACTCATAACTAATGTTTTTTTTATAAACTTAAATTAATGGAGGTAATCGCTTTCCTCAAATGAAATGAGTTAGCTTAACTTTTTGGGGTTTACAGTGTGACTACAGGGTAACATTAATGAAACAACATAAGAAATTAAGGGCGAAAAAGGGTACGTTGTCCATTCTGTAGCAATATATGAAGCATCACTCACAGAATTCACTTCCAAACCAAGCAGCCACTTGACCAACTTGAAAACAAGCAAAATCTGTTTCGCCATTCACCAAACTCCCAATCATGCAGATTCGAAAATTCCAGAGGTATTCTGGGTGGTTGCTAGGGCATTGTTAGGTAATTAATTAGAAAACCACACCGATGTCTCATTGACATTTTAGCCACCAAAATCATAAGTGTGGTCACACTGTTAGAAATTGCTGTAAATTTACGGCTAAATTTCAACAGTACATTCCTGTTTTGTTCAAAAGCAGTACATTGCTGTTTTTTTGCGTTTGTAATATGACGTAGAAAAATTATAACGGCATTTTAACGTAATTATTGCTCGAGGGAAACAAAACGGTACTTAACAGTATTTTTGACTTGACATCGGAAGAGCTGCAGTGAGCACGCATGGATTTTTCATCCATCTTCATACTTATAATAGGTGAGTTCCCTTTTGTTTTGCTCGTTGTGATAGAAAAATGCATTACATCTGCAATTGTTACTAACTTGTATTTTGGATATTGGAAGTAGCCTAACTATTTTTGTATTCGCAGTGATAAAAGCACCAACTGCGACATCGTGAGGGAAGTTGGATTCCTCACACGGATAATTCACGATTACAGGGTGAGTTTCATCCAAAATCAATTTTTCTGCAAAGTTTATGCAAAGCTATAAGTAAAAACATTGTTGCATGTGAATTACATCGTCGTCTTAGCGCGCTAAAGTGTTGCAGCTTGATTTTTCATTATTCGGAAAACCGTTGCACAAAACCTAAATTTCGGGCTTTTTGTGCTTTTAAATGGGGATAAACTTGTTGTAGGCCTAATCTGTACATCTCAGGGTGATTTATTTGTTGTACAAGTGATTGTATTGTTAGGCCTACTTTAATGGTGGCTTTATTTTTGCATAGATCCAGGTTTTGATATAAGTATAAGTGATAGAATAAGCATTAAGAATAATTCATATTAAAGTTAAGCTGTATTGTTACTTTGTCCAGCATGAAATTTAGAATAATCTTTAAGACTAATTAATATTTAAAGTTTAGTTATTGCTGCTGCAGTGTTACTTTGTCCAGCACGTAGCCTAATTTTTAATAATCATTAAGACAAATTCATGTTTCACTGTTGCTGCTGCAGTGTTATTTTGCCCAACATGTAATTTAAAATTTATTAACACTAATTCACATTTTAAAGTTTTGTTGTTGCCGCTGCAGTGTTACTTTATTATATTTATTAACTAATTCATATTTAAACGTTAGTTATTGCTGCTGCAGTGTTATCATGCTGCAGAGCATGATTTGGAGTGAAATGTGGTGCTATAGAGTCTCGTGTCGTCTAAATTTACAGTACATTTCGGTTTGTATACCCCCAGAACACTTGGAATATATGACACGAGTCACATAGAATCATTTTCTGATTTCAATTGTCCAGAAACCAGATTTCAGATTACATGTGTAGTCAATTTTTCTTTAATTTGTGATCTGAAAAAGAACATATGGCCTTGAACAACCAGGGTGAGTAATTATTTGCTTAATTTTCAATTTTTATATTAATTTACTTATTTTCAACACTTAAAAGGATAGTTTACACACACACACACAACACACACTAATTATGTCATCTTCTTGCCCAGTGTTGTTTCTGTTGAGTTTATGGACTTTTAATTGATGGACAACAATTATTAAACAATTTTAGAAATATCTTTGTCTAAAGATAAATTAAAGTTTTATGGGTTTGGAACATAAGGGTGAGTAATTCATGACAGGATTTTCTTTTTATGGTTGAACTAACCCATTAACAATGTTGAGAACATAATTTCACAATACACATTTTAAATGTTTGCCCAGATAAGTCCATGATCAACACGTTGAAAATGTAATAAAAATGGCTCTGTCAATGATTTCATTTACAATACGGTGGTGGTAGATTCATGTTTTTATGCCGATGCTGACAGTTTTTCATTTTAAAGTTTCAGGTGAAACACCAGGAAACTGTATTCAGCACTGGATGATCAGTCTTGAGGGTCATATTATTTGTGAGGGCATCCAGACGGTTTTCTGTCTGGGCTTGCTGCTGTTTTTTCTACTTTTTACAACTTCAATCTTCAATACCAAGCTGAGGCAGCATGCACACTGGAATTTATTCAAAGGTAAATACTTGGATGCATACATTCAATTCACTTCACTTTTATTTATATAGCACTTTTTATAATGCATATCATTTCAATGCAGCTTTACATAAAATTTTTCATTGTTGCAATGTTGCATGTTTAATTGATACAACACAATTTGGCCCTAATTAACGGAATCTAGCATCAAATAAAGACATTTTCTTTTAAACTATTTGAAGCACGGTGAGTAGCCATAGATGACTATGTCAAGGAAATAAACAGGGCTTTGGTGGTGGTGAAGTGTTGGTGAAAACCTTGGAAGGAAGCCTCATCTTTGACACCTAAATGATGATCAAATGATTTTGTTAAAATGTTTTAAACATTGCTAAAATAGCATATAAGGTGTGCATATGAGATATCTTTATTCTAGATTAAATCACATCCTTCACCCCCAAAAGATTGTTCAGAAAGCTATCCTTTCCTGACAAAGTTAAAGGAAGTGATCTTAAAACAAGAATAGTTAAGATTATAGCAAATTTATATGTTCTTTGTGAGTAAACTAATTCTGAACAAACATGTTTGTTTTTCAGGCGGTTCATCGGGATAAACCCAGAAAAAGGCACCAAGGTTGGAGGAGTCATTTCAAAACGGACGGGGAAGGTCGCCCAGAAAAACAAAACAGTGAACCCTCGTGTCTCCAGTCTGCTTAAAAAAATTATGGATTTTGAGTGGGACTTTATACAAGTATTACACACACACACCCACACACAAACACTCACACCCCATACACACACACACACACACACACACACACACACACACACGCATATACGCGCGCACACACACACACACACACACACACACACACACACACACACACACACACACACACACACACACTCAAAATCAGGTGAATAAGGTAATTCACTGTTTGTGTCCAGAGTAAAAAATAAAAAAAATGACAGTATACTTAGTCATTTGTTAAGGACTTGTTCAAGTTACAGGATATCAGATTCTGATTTTGGAAACATCTTGTTTATTTATGTTTGTTGTAACTTCTAAACCTTGAATTTTCAGAAGTTTCAGAAGTTTAATAAACAAGAGACATGTTTTGAAACAATAAAGCTGCTTTTCTTCTGTTACATTTTTAATTCACTATTTCACTTTTAAATTTATTCACTTTTGGTATTTTATAGCAAGACTGCAACAGGGAAATGTATTAAATCACAAGGTTCAGAAAATAATCTTTAAAAACACAGGGGGAAAAGTTGTCCTTTTTGCTAACTGTCCATTATTCAGTACATTACACAATACCATATTGTATATTTGTGTAGTTTACACTAATTTCAATATGAAGAACAAATAAGTGCCCATGCTTTTTTCAGGATATTGCTGTAACATGTAGAAACTGCTTTATGCATTTCCAAAAGCAGTAACAACTGTAAATTTAACCAACAGTAAGACACCGTTAATTTAACAGTATCTTGCTGGCAACCGTGCTGCCAGTTAATTACTGTTTTTTAATAAACGGTAGTGAACTGTAAATTTCACTAACAGTAAAAACCTGTTAATTTAACAGTAACTTGCTGGCAACCGTGCTGCCAGTTCTTTACTGTTTTTTAACGGGAAAATTTTTAACAGTGCACTTATTTACGAAATTCAATACATCATAGCCCATCCAAACACAATTCCTCAAATACACTTTAGTAAAGTTTCAGTAATTAGAAGGATTAGACTGAAAGTGTATAAGAGGATAGACCGGAGGGAACGTACCCCGTAGCTGGAGGTTGTACTCCTTCCTGCTCTCCTCATTACTCAAGATCTTCCAAGCCTGGTCGACATCAATGAATCTCTGCAGGTGCTGCTCCGCCTCCCCTTCTGATACGTCCAGCCTCTGCTTGTCCGGGTGAAACTGCCAATCAAAACGCAGAGTGATGAGACTGACAGAAATGATAACCAATGACAGTCACGTCTGATAGAAACTATTACATTTGGACAAAAACTTTTAAGGCCGAGAAATTAAGCCAGATTACAGAAACGGATTGCAAACAATACATGAGTGATACAAAAGGTTGAATAATAAAAATGTAAAAATGGTGACAAGTCTTGATGCAAAGTTAATGGGCAATTTGCTGAAGGACTTGCTGTGCTTTTGGACAGTTTACCAGAGAAGGCAGACCATGGGCACTAATATGGACAATGGTTCAAAATATATATGTATATATATATATATATATATATATATATATATATATAATATACCAGTTAGGACAGATATGTCTTTCCAATGACAAGACTGGACAGAGTAGACAGTTAAAAGGGCAAAGGCTTCTTTCCTCCAGCCAAAAACACTAATGTGATCCCACTTTGTGTCCTAAAATATGACAGATCTTACGGTAACATCACAGCTTTGCCAAAATAAAATAAAAATGTACCCAGAAGTCTAATGCAGCCTCCCTTAAGGAAGCTTTAGGGATTTATTGTGACAGTCCCTTCCGGCCTAGATGGATCCTTACAGTAAAGAGTCCTTCTCCTTGAGCAATCTACAGATCTGGGGCTGTGACTATCGATTAGTGGGGGTTGAGGGTCAGCTGAGCCGTGGGGCACTTCATTCGCCCACTGGAGAAGAGCAAGGTTGAAAGGGGCAAACGGAAAACAACTTAGATCCTTTCGAGCAGGCATTCAACCAAACTCTGATTATGCTCTGGCACAGGCGAGCAGAGCATTGCAAGTGTATGTGTTTGTGTATTTCCATGGTCGCTATAGTTCAGAAGCCGCATCGCCGCCAAAGTCGGGTAATGATGCATGGGGTGACACTGGGCTACAATAACCGACAATCTGGGGCAAGCCAATTACTGTCCACAGCGATTATATTTGTAATTTTAAGCAACAGGAAGACTGAATTCAACTAATCATTTCAAGCAATTAAGTTTAAAACTAATTAAAATTTAAGGGTGCCCGTTCTCCGTTGTTTCCCGTTCATCCCCCCCTCCCTCCTCGCCCCTTTCTCTGTTTGTGTTTTTGTTGTCGTTTTCACTTTGTTAATGGGTGGTCAGAATGCGATGAGAAGAGGAACAGAAAAGCAACTGCAGCAACAAGCCAAAAATTAACTTCCTGATTGAGAGAATCATTAACCATTTCTTGTCATTTTTGCAGTGCGGGTGAAAGAAGACCCACTCTCAGATACAAGAAAGAGGGGCCAATGAACTTTAACTCAAAGATCCTTAAATATGCTGACGTAAATCATTCATTGCGGCCATCCGATTGATGGAAGGCTTTTTGGAGTGCATTCTCTCCAGCACTAGCGCTGTCACATGCCGTCATTACATTCTGAGGAGAATTTCAAGTTGGTGAAATGCAAGGAAAGCATCCTTCTTCACTCAAATCTCAGTTTAATTAAAAGTACCAGAGTAAAAAAAGACATTAAGATTAGGAACGGCACAGGATACCAGCTAAGAGGATTAGATCGATTTGTGTTTAGGATGCTTCAGATCAGAGGATCAGAGAATGACCAAAGCTAAATAGCTAAAGTGAAATCTTGAGGTGTAAGCAAAACTTTAAATCAGCGTGGCCATCTAGAATAACACACGAAGCCTACTACATAACGTAATGCTTGAATTTTAATTAAAATTCACAACACACAAAGTTACACGTTGGTGGAGGAAAAAAAATTTACATTACGACACCCATAAGGCATTTTGGGATATATTTTAATTTTAGTACACATAATGGCAATGAAGAAAAACACTGACACTAGCTATATGTTTAAATATTAGATTTGTTATTTTTATTTCTGTGGTGTGGCAATTTGAACCATCACCTTTCCCAAAGTAATATCTCCAACAATATATTCTCAGCCAGCACAGAAAAGGAAAAACAGCTCCGGTCCTGAACCCTAAGAATGGCTGAGCAAGCTTGGCAGCACAATTTCTCAGTTACCTCCAGCAGGACGCCAGATTCTGCTAGAGAATTAGACTCTCTCCCCAGTGGCGGAATCGGAGATAGGGTTTTGCTTTCCTCTACTCTTTGTAGGTGAGCTCGAGGAGTCAGGACCACAGGTGTGAAGTGCAGCTTAGCCCTGGCAAGCACATACTGCTGCTCCACAAACATCTCCCTGGGTAATCTTTTGTCAAATAGATAGTCCCTGTGAACTGAGTTTCAGGTCTGTCGTAACAGAGATGAAGATACACTGGGCTGGATTTAAAATGCAAGATATTTAAAAAATTTAAAATGTATGAATATATTTTTAATTGGTCAAAGCTTATGCATCTAAAAAACAAACTTTAAACATTGTACAAAAAAAACATTTTAATTTCTTTTAAAAAATGTCGCTTGTGTTAAGAATGGATCTTTTTTTTTTCCACACACACATTACGATCCTTCAGAAATCCGTTTAATATGTTGGAGTTGGTACTCGATAAACTTTTCTTATTATAAATGTTGAACAGTTGTGCTGCTTAATATTTTTGTGGAAACCATGATAATTTTTTATTTCTGTAGAAATTTTATTTTATGTATTTACTGTCACATGTGATCGATTGAATGCATCCTTGTTGAAAAAAAAAAAACAAGTTTATCAAAAATTAAATTATATATTACTGATTCAAAATTTTGAACTGTAGTTAATGTTATATAACTCAAATATATTAAAATATATAAATATATGACTTATGAAATCCAATAAGTTAACATTTGAATGTGAACGCTTACTGTACTGTTTTCCAAAGTCTTCTTAAGATGCATTCTGACTCAATGTTACAAACACTAATGTGGTTACACCACCCATTTACTATAGTGTTACTCTACAATTTCCAGTCAGGTACTTGTCATAAATACATAACACAACGAGAGGCTGGAGCTCTGTTAGAGCAGCCCGTCCTCCTGCCCCTCTGGAGTTACACGCTTTAATTGCTGTCTCTTTGCACGCATTGTAAAATATTCATTTACTGGGGCTAATGGAGCTTGGAGAGCAGGAACACAATATAAAGGGCCGGGCAATTTGGAGCACTCGCCAGCTCTAACAATACATCATCATCTCTCAGAGGCTGCGAAGGGAGCACTGCCACATCCTCCGCTGGGCTCTGGTGTTCTGCCTGCAGCCGCTTTCTGCTTCAATGGAGAGAGGAGAGAGACCGAAGCACAAAGGAAACTACCATCACACTACTGCCACCTACTGTCAGGCTGAACTCAGAATGAGGGAATGAGGCAGGACACTGGGACTACAAACAATAATCCCAAGTAATACAGCAGTATAGATCCTGAATTCTGAATCAGTAAGCTGACTTCTGCCAAACTGTCTGGCTATATTATGAAGAAACCAATACGTGATGGCATTTCCATCACATGATGCTGAGACGTTTGACTTTAACAAGCTAAAAAAAAACGGAACTATTATTAATTTCATTACCAATCAATCTCCTGCTGTATATTGCGTAAGGCATTGGAATGGAGTCTTCAAACTGCTTCTACAAATTGCACGCCACACATCCTGATTTATCGACTGGTGTTATGAGATTGCTGTAATTAAAATGGGTTTGGGATTAAACAAATCAGCTTAAGTATAACTTGACTGGGATAAATCAACCTGCAATGTGTATTAATGAGAAATACTTATGCCATTGATTAATTGTGCATATATTTTCAAAGCTTGTATTTAGCAAGAACAATTTGCCCTAGGAGGAAACTTTGAAGGGAGAATCAAGCATAATCTTTATCTCGGAATGAATTTTATCAGTTGACATGCACTGCATAACATCTCTTTGACTCCAAGGCCTACTGTTTTACAATACAATATTCAAAACTTAAGAGTATCAGTGATAAAAATTAAATTAAAAACCTGTCGTGAATAGTGTGTGTGTGTGTGTGTGTGTGTGTGTGCATACATGCATGCATTCATATGGTAACACTTTAGTTTAAGCTCCAATTCTCACTGTTAACTAGTTGCTTATTAGCATGCATAGAACTAGGACATTGGTTGTTTATTCCCTGGTGACAAAAAAAACAAATGCTAAGTATACTTGCAACCAGAGTGTGTTAATGATTAGTTTACTTGAAGTGTGCTATTTGTAACTAATTTTGTACCAAGTATATTTTAGTTGTTGTAATTAACTTGTAGTAAAGTCTAACTAAATGCATTTAGTGTACTAACCTGGACCAACTTCACTTAGTGTGCTTTAAGTATATGCCTGTGAAGGGACTAATTACATGCATGTATGTATGTATATATATATATATATATATGCCCATATATATGCCCATGAGGCTATCGGCATTTCCAGCACATAGTTAAAATATCATAAAATATATTTTTGAAAGTGCAAATAAATACACTTTTAAAAAATAAACAGAATTTTCACTTCAAGCATATTTTAAGAAAATATATTTTTTTAGAAAATATCCAAAAGTACAATTATTTTAAAAGTGTGTTAAAAGAGAAAATAGGTAAAAGCATGATGCTAATATACTTAAATAATTCCCCGTTTGAGAACCACTGATATATGGGAACATTTGCTGAGTACCTACCTTGAGGATGAGCTTCTGATACTTCTGTTTCAGCTCTTGCATGTCATCTGTTGGACAGGCACCCAGTATTGAGTACCAGTCTTTATGTAGACCACAGGATTCTGCCATAATTCTGCAGAATACAAACAAAAATACAGAGGAAAGTATGAATTGTTTGCACCAAACAACTTGCAAGTGCAGGACGATTATTTGAAATGTAATTTATAGCATGTATACATTCACATTGACCTTGTTAATCTTTAAAAGCAATGATCAATTCATAGTAAACAGTTAAGACAATCTGTCTTCAGCAGTCAGTTGGCAGGATGTACTGTACAGCACGTGAAAAAGCATAAAAAACTATACAAAGTAAGAAAAACATATTACATTGTAGAATGATATGGTATAAGAGAACTGTCTCGCTTCCTACCCGAATATGAAGGCGTTTTCACCGCTTCTATGCAGCTGTCGTCAGCGTTGGCCTTTCCAGTCCATGCTGCTTCCTCCAGTGTGAGGGTTTGCCTCGCTCTTTAACGCACTGACAGAAACACGTATGCTTTGATCAAATCATATTTTAATCTGAAGGAATTTTGAACTAGCCAAATTGTGTAACATCACAAATAATAAGCACTTATGTTTGAGGAGTTCCGCCGTCTTCGAGAGCAGTGAAATGCTCAAAAATAGACATTAAATTGTTCGACTACAAACTAACGTTTCTACACGGATGTATTAGAGAGCAACACGAGAGCGGGTGCGCTGCTGCTTCTATGGAAACGATGATGGAAACTGAGCAAGAGCATAGGCTAGCCGCTAGACAGTAAAAAAAAACAGAGAGGTGGCCTTAGTTTACAGTTACTTAGCCACAGTTACAGCTTGCGACAGTTACTAGAGAATGTCGAATGGGCTCTGCTAACATTCAGAATTTATTTAAATTAGACACTTTTTACTTTTTAGTCGGAAAAAAGATAATGAATCACAAAAATTTATTCTAGAATGGGTCCTGATCACAATTATATTGGGTTTATAACAAGTATCAGACATATTCATTGATTGGTATGTTTTTAGGGGTGGAAACAGATGACTGGACATGCAGACAGAAATATTGAAATTCAGAAAATATTTGTGGTAACGTTTGATAAAGTGCCATTATCCATTTTAATGGATACTTGATTTACCTGCAAAATCTTGAAGCACATCTATTGTTCAAATGCAGATACAAATACAAATACTGAGCTAAAAGAAAATAAAAAAGGAAATTAAAGGAAAGGAAACATATTATAATGGGAAGCCATAAAATATTGATATTTTGCTTTGACAAAATTACAAAACAAAAAAAACACTTCTATATATATATATGTGTGTGTGTGTGTGTGTGATTGTGACAAGGGTTGTGAGAAAAGTTGGTGGATATTTGTTAATTGTGTTGGGAATTACCTAAAATATCATGTATGTCATAGGCTAGTCTACAGAGGGCAGAAAAAGAAAGAAGAAAAAAAATCACAATGTGCACACCTCAGCCACCGTCTCCAGCTGCTAATTAACAAAGTATTTAATGAGCACTGTGAAAGATGCTACATGTAACAGAGAAAACAGATTGTTTGTCAAGCCATGTTTACTCAGTTTAGGTTTATTATGAAGCAATTAATAATTTCATGATGAAATTTACAGATTTTTTTGTTTGACATTTCAGATGTATAAGGCACAACAACAGATGTTTGTTTTCCTGTTTTACTGATGCATGTAATTCGTTTGTGTAATTCTACTTCTAGGGCAGGAAGAGTTGTGCTGTTGTAGTATCTTAAAAGTTGTCGAGAAAATACTACACTTTATTATAGAATGCTTTTCATTAGGTTGCATTAATTTTTGCTTCCCATTATATAAAGGCTATTTTTATATATTCAATATACAGAGGATGTCACTTAGAAAAGAAATTGAACAGAATTATAAATATATTTTATTTGTTAAACACTGTTGCTAATACTTCCTGGCTGCTGTTGTTTACAGACTCAGTAGGTGTTAACGAGAAAAGATTTTGACTGGCGTACATCTAACAACACCCAAATATCACTTTAATTACTGGAACTGAAAAGAAAACAAAGCAAACAGAACAAACTTTAGCATGACATTGTGCAACTGTTCTAACGTATAATTATTTGTGCCAATTACTGATTTAGAAGTTGGGAAGAATTAAACAAAGTAATTAGCAAATGGCATTCTGATTAGTTTCAGCCTTGTTCTTGTGTATTGCGTGTGATGCATAAATCCATGAAGCACTCAGTGATCAAACGAGCAAACGCATCTTTTTGAGATCCGAAGGTCATTCATAAATTAAACCTGATTATTATTGGTTTAAAAAGGAAGTTCTACATGAACTTCTATAGAAAAAAATACATATAATTGGGGGTAACGCATTAAAAGTAATTTGAGCTATGTAATCAGATTACTTTTTTCAAGAACAAACAAAATATCATTTTTCAAATATGTAACACAAGTTACTTTGTTTTCCCATATTGACTGTTAAAATTATGGTTATTGTTTTTCTAGACTAAATGTGAGCATTAACTCATCTCAATCGCATAAAAACAGATTCAGTATTCCTCAAAATGGAAACTCACAAAAACCTGTTATTAAAAAACAAACAAGTGATCCCAGCCCAGGTGAGGAAATGTAACGCAAAAGTAACGTAATACATTGCTTTCCATAAAAAGTAACTAAGTAACACAATTAGTTACTTTTTAGTAAAGAACGCAATGCATAATTTTTAAAAGTAACTTTCCCAACATTGGTCCTAGATGATGCTAACTGGTAATACAGACTTCACCTACTTTAGAAGTCTAAAATTGTGGTTGAGCTTCATGCTAGAGGAGATCAGTTTTGAATGGTTCATATTTTGCAAGCCATGAAATGAAATAGATAAATATTTTCAGCCAGTTGATGTTGAAGCCAGAGAGTATGAGTGATCAGTTTGTTCACTGACCCAGAGTTGAATTTCACCCTGAAATTTGGCTCTAGGAAACTGGCTGTTCCTGCTGTGTTCATAACTCTAGAGATTTATTCTTTAAAACTGTGGGCCAAAGAAGCTGTAGGTTACCTCGAAAAGTTGTTAAATGCTCAAAATAAAGAGCATTTTGGTTTATGGGAAAATTGGAAAAAAGGGCTTTCCAGCATGCATTACTTTCAAAATCTTTTTTAAAAAGTAAAGGTTCTTTATTGGCTTTGATGGTTGACAAATCTTTAATGGAAACTTTCCATTGCAAAAAAGGGTTTCTATAGTGTTCTTCATATAGTGTATTAAAATGTTCTTTACACTCAGAAAAAAAAATTGTTCTTTTAAGAACTGTTCACTTACATGTTTTCCTTGCAAATATTCCTCCCTGGCCAGCGTTTATTAAAAAAGTTGCCAGCCAGTGCTGTTTTCACAAAATGGACCCCATATTTCCTCTGTCTTTACTAAAAAATTAAAACCGTACACAGAACGTTTCCTAATGGTTATTTTTGTTATTATTTTGCAACCATAAAATACTGTTCCCAGAACATTGCAGCCAGGGTATTGAAAATGAAAACTAATTAAATTCAATGAATGTAAAATTAATCCATATATACTACTGAGTGGTTTAGATCACTTTATATGATGAACAGATTGAATTTAGGCTTTTAATTCATACTGTATATAAACATTCATCATTCATCTCACACATCAGTTGTGGTAAACGGAAGCTCAAGCATGTTCGCTTGATGTGCAAGAACCAATGAGGTTCATTCCAACACTATCTCACGACCAATTCGTACGAATTCGACGCATGATTAAAAAGTGGCTAATTCGTACTAATTCATACGACCTCACTCGTACTAATTCGTACGATTTGTCTAAACCCACGTG